TTTTCTGTTTTTAAACATCCATCCAGACAAACAGTTTACCTGGCTGCACTTTAATATCTGACAGAGCTTTAAGACAGGCTCTTTTTCTTTCTTCTCCTTTAGGAACCGGCCTAAAAAATAAAAACACACTGTTGTTACCTCCGGCTGGGGCAAAAGGCAGAAGCTGACAGATTGGTAATTGCAAGCTGCGGGATGTACTTGATGATGGCGGACACGTTGGTTATCTTGTTGAAGAAGTCAAACTCTCTCTGGTAGAAATCTTTGGCCGGACCCGACAGAGAACCGGTGATCTCCTCCACCATCTGCTCCAACAGCTCCCCAATGTCAGCTGTGCACACACACATTAATGAGCAAGCAATCGACTTAACTTCAGTTAATTAGACCTAATAATGGTTTTCCCATCAGCTCAACAACTTAATTACACATTAACAGAGAATGATATCACATTAATTTAACACAGAGGAGCCAGGAATCTACCGCAAAAAGGAAAAACACAAGAAGAAATCAGCCAATGTGACGTATGTGAATCAAACTTACACAACAACAAAATGACTATCAAATACAAACGTAACATTAATCAGAGAGACTGGAGAGGATCTATTGCAGTTAGGTACACTACAGGTTGGTTTAACAAATACTCCATTCTGCGTATACATGTACCCCTCATTTCCCCATTAATGAAGTTTATTTTTAGACAAGTTTGGCTTTGTGTCTATTTGTCTGTTCTTACAATGAAAACATTTTAAATCTTTTATTTTTTAAAGTATACAGTTTCGTTGTTCTGCCATGCACAACATAGCTGGGTCACTCTGATGTAGAGTTTCTACTCACGATCTTTCTGGTGTCCCTCCTCATCCATGAAGATGTTTGTCTTCATGTTCCAGATGAACTGATGGGCGAGAAGCTGTGACTTCTGGGCTGCCCACAAGATGTACTCTCTTACGTAACCCATCTGAGCCAGACAGAGAGTCAGAAGTTATTACCATTTTAACTTTTAAAACATCTTCAAAAACAATCATTTCTATTAACCAACTTGTCCTTTAAGCTTCTGCTTCAAAAACGAACATATCGACCATCCCTCTTCTGGTTTGGCTGGTGATGTTTGAGTTGCAGTAACGTTAACTAAATACGATGAACCATTCAAAGAAAGAGATCTTACAGCCTATTAGCATGTTTTTTTTCCACTTTTGTATGAAGTTGAGGAAGGAAGAACTGTTAATGTTTACCTTATCATAACGGAGAGCCTGTACAATTTGAGGAATGTAGAACAAGATGGCATCCTAAGATGAGAGAGAGAAAAAAAAGTATTCTTAGCTTTGCTTGTATCCTCTCTACTGCTGAGGAAACCAAACAAACTAATTCCTGTGTGTTAGCAAAAATCCACACGTGTGACCTACTGGAGGGAAGGAGCGCAGCACTTTAACCCCGTACTGAGCGGTGAGAGGATGAGGAGGGTACATGCTGCTGAAGTAAGACAGACCAGTGGGCGGGTCGGCCGGAGCCCAGCACAAGATATGGCTCAGCTCAGGAGAGTCAGCATCGATAGTGTGCCACGTGACCAGGAACTAGTCAAAGAGGGAAAGAAATTATTAGACACAAACTAATCAAATAAATAGAGTTGAGCTTTATTACACAATTTAGATCAACAATATTACATCCCCTACAACAACTTCAAATGCCCATCTGTATGTCGATGACACATCTGTATTGCTTTTCTAATACACAGCCTCACAGCTGAAGGTCCCTCAGTTCAAATCTCTACTGGGGTCTTTCTGTGTGGAGTTTGCATGTGACTACTGCATAGGTTTTCTCTCGGTGCTCCGGCTTCCTCCCACAGTCCAAAGACATGCTGAGGTTAATTCATGGTTCTAAAGTGCCTGCAGGTCTAAGTGTGGCCCTGTGATGGACTGGAGACCTGCCTCTTACCCTAAAGCAGCTGGGATAGGCTCCCCTCTCCAGGACTAAGTGGGGTATGGGTAATGGATGGAAAGATTTTCTAACACTACAGTCAGTTNTTCACAAGAGCTTCAGAATTTTTCTGTTTAAACTGGCTTTAGCATCCATAGGTAACCCATAACTGTTAACTTGTTCTGTTGTTACTAATAGCTAAAATGTTGTTTTTGTCAACTACAAAACTGTTGCCTGTAAAATAAAACAGCTTATTATTTCATCCTTGGAATATAGGCTGGTTTACAGGGAATAAACAAAAATGCCATTAAATGTGACATTTATGCCTCTCATGAGGTTGATCTGGTCAAAGTCAGATGACACAGTCTGTCCTAGCTTTTCAGTCCATTATTAGAGTAAACTCAGAAAAGGGAACAGTCGCTTTAAATCTGTAGCAGGAGTGATAAGGTTTAAAGCTTTATACCTTCTGGAAGGCCAGGGTGGATTCATCACCATACTGGTTACGGAAGTAATCATACATGCCAAAGTCTGTTTGTCTGCCAAGCTGGTCTCTGGACTTGCAGTCTGGGATGCACTCGATCACGCCGCACTGAGAGAAAGAAAGAGAAATTATCAACTATCAGATTATGACACCAAAATCACATTTTTACAGTTCAGTTATCAAAATGTGGCTGTTTTAATACATTCAGATACATTTACCAGTATAACTGCTAAGATATAGTGGGCTGCTACACAGCAAGAGCCTATCAAGGGCTCCCAGGAACTGTGCAATTGTCTCGGGTCTACCAGGACTTAATGAATCTTTAGTTATACTTTAGTAGCACCTTTTTATTTTTTACCCGTAATGTGTGTGATTAACCAACAGGAGTGAAGAGGTATAGATTAGGGAATACAGGATTTGGAGGTAATAATAAGGCATAGAGTGTTACCCCTGGTGCAGTGGCCACCACTCTGTAGGGGAAGACAAACAGATCCAGACCAACCAGCTGGAAGATGTTCTTAAAAAGCCCAATAATCTGGAGAGCGAGCATATCCTGGAGGAAAGCGAGGATCACAGGAGGGTTATCAAAGGAGTTCAGGCCATCCCTAACATAAATGTGTCGCATCAATGAGAGAAAGAAAAGCAGGTCACCTGTCTGCAGTCATCTCCCACTTTAAAGATGGCCGCCTGCCAGCAGACTCTGCGTGATCCATCTGGATTCTCCTCTCCGTCCTCCAGAGAGTCTGAGGGGCAGCGGAGACCCTCCCTCTCCAGCTCGCTCACCCCACAGCGCTTCACCTTAAACTTGGCCAGGTAGGGCGCCTTGGCAGCACTGTGAACACAGAAAACACATGAGAAGAACGCAGACGACACAGGATCAATGTATCAGCGAAAACCCTCCACGACTTTACCTCTGCATGGGAGTCCCAGACTTGTAGTCAATGTCCAGCACTATGGCTTCAGGATTACTGGGAAGGTAACAGCCTAGGAAACACCAAGAGGAGCAGAAAACAGTAAGCTGGGCTCGGAGAACTCACTGACAAACTTTTTTCATGATAGCACTTACATATATTAGATAAAAAAGCATGACAGCTGGATCTTTAGTAGCAATGCTCCACACAAAAGCTGATGTTCGTCTTTTCAAGACTAAAACAGTGACAGTTTATAATGTGAGCTGGATGCTAACACTTATTTGATGGATTTATTAGTCTTGGTATCAAGAATCACTGAAATTTTAATAGTGCAGATATCGACCACCAAACTTCTGGCGCTGTGCTATCCCTAATCTGGGACGGAGACACCTGAACCATTTACATTCTATGCTTAAGAACAGGATGTATACACGTTTATATTCATGTCTAAATAGATGTGCATTTTCCGTTCCATCAATCCCCACAAATGTCTGTTAGCAGTCACATTTTTACTTCAGCAACCATTAAAGGAGTACATGCAAACCAAAATTTACAGAAACAGTTCTGTCCTAAACAAAACTGATCACATTTAGAATACACTTCTGACATATAGTGAGGACTTTAACCATTAAGCATTTTAAAGAAGGTTAGAAATATGAGTGTAAAAAGGGACACTGAGGTCCTTTTTGTTCACATAGGCAAAGTCTACGCTGATGTTTTTTTTAACTTTCCATTTTATATGTTCAACTGACGTGATAAATATAAACCAGTCTCTTTAAATGTTGTATGATGTCAAAATTTGACAACCTCTGAACGCCAAAACCACCCAGCACGTTTGAAAGGAATTTTTTAACTTTTCTAATAATCACTGATTGTAGGATTTGTACTTTTTCGTAAAAACGCTAATTTTTTTTCTTTTTTTGTCTCTCCTTGTAGCCATGGTTGTGCTGTTTCCTTAAAGGTGCAGAAATTGAAATTGCAATGAAGATTGAGCCCACAGTGAGGAAAAATGTAACAGGAGCAATAAGCACCCAGACACTGTTTGCGGTTCAGAGGGTAAAATAAGAAAAAAAAACTTTTTTCGCAGCATCTCAGTTCGTTTTCTGTTTTTAAACATCCATCCAGACAAACAGTTTACCTGGCTGCACTTTAATATCTGACAGAGCTTTAAGACAGGCTCTTTTTCTTTCTTCTCCTTTAGGAACCGGCCTAAAAAATAAAAACACACTGTTGTTACCTCCGGCTGGGGCAAAAGGCAGAAGCTGACAGATTGGTAATTGCAAGCTGCGGGATGTACTTGATGATGGCGGACACGTTGGTTATCTTGTTGAAGAAGTCAAACTCTCTCTGGTAGAAATCTTTGGCCGGACCCGACAGAGAACCGGTGATCTCCTCCACCATCTGCTCCAACAGCTCCCCAATGTCAGCTGTGCACACACACATTAATGAGCAAGCAATCGACTTAAGTTCAGTTAATTAGACCTAATAATGGTTTTCCCATCAGCTCAACAACTTAATTACACATTAACAGAGAATGATATCACATTAATTTAACACAGAGGAGCCAGGAATCTACCGCAAAAAGGAAAAACACAAGAAGAAATCAGCCAATGTGACGTATGTGAATCAAACTTACACAACAACAAAATGACTATCAAATACAAACGTAACATTAATCAGAGAGACTGGAGAGGATCTATTGCAGTTAGGTACACTACAGGTTGATTTAAGAAATATTCCATTCTGCGTATACATGTACCCCTCATTTCCCCATTAATGAAGTTTATTTTTAGACAAGTTTGGCTTTGTGTCTATTTGTCTGTTCTTACAATGAAAACATTTTAAATCTTTTATTTTTTAAAGTATACAGTTTCGTTGTTCTGCCATGCACAACATAGCTGGGTCACTCTGATGTAGAGTTTCTACTCACGATCTTTCTGGTGCCCCTCCTCATCCATGAAGATGTTTGTCTTCATGTTCCAGATGAACTGATGGGCGAGAAGCTGTGACTTCTGGGCTGCCCACAAGATGTACTCTCTTACGTAACCCATCTGAGCCAGACAGAGAGTCAGAAGTTATTACCATTTTAACTTTTAAAACATCTTCAAAAACAATCATTTCTATTAACCAACTTGTCCTTTAAGCTTCTGCTTAAAAAAAGAACATACCGACCATCCCTCTTCTGGTTTGGCTGGTGATGTTTGAGTTGCAGTAACGTTAACTAAATACGATGAACCACTCAAAGAAAGAGATCTTACAGCCTATTAGCATGTTTTTTTTCCACTTTTGTATGAAGTT